CCAAAGCTGAATAGAGTGGAAGCATCACTTCCTTTGATTTGTAAATGACACTTCTGCTAAAACAACCCAATATGCTGTTGGGTTTTCTTTACAGGAACACACTGATCCTCTGTAACCCCGAGGTTCTTCTCCAGTATTACAGCCTAGTCAGTCATCCCCCAGTCTGCACTGTGCCTTACACAAGAGGCTGCCTATGGCACTTTTTAATAGAGCCGCTGCAGGGGCTTCCAGCCAGTAAGTGATCTGACAAAACATGCTGCAGCACCCAGGTACAACGGGGTCAGTACAGTCTGTAATTTCATTCTGTAGGGGCCAGTTCTGCAAGATGCCAAGTGCCCCTAACTTACATTCACTTTAGCACCTCACAGGACTGGGTAGCTAAGTAACTATTTAAGAATTCATACCATACATATTTAAAATTGTACTTAGAAATACCTGCAGCCTTACCACTACCATTACAGTGAGTGGCAGTCTCCGAGTGAAACCTCAGAAGGACTTCAGGTTAGATTCACAAAAGGAATTATATCTGTAAATTTCGTCTAATTCCCCTTTTAGGCTCCCAAGCCCAAAACTGCAATCTTCAGAACCCTTACTTAGCATTCAGCTCAGCCTGGAGGCACATAATAACCACAGACAGTCCAGTTTTAAAAATTACAACTCCCTAGGTGCCAAAAGGTTTGTTTCTGAGATGTACAGAAATGCTACAGTCTTTACAGTGCTGAGCAGCTTGGCACATAGCTCATTCACAAACCAAGACAATTTCCAGCCATGTCACTTAGGCTGACAGGTTTACCTGATCTGGTAGATGTGCTCAGTGTGTAATAAAAAGAGAACATGATGGTGTTCCCTTTTATTTAACCCTTCAGTGGCTTCAGAATTCACCCAGGATGTGGAGACCTGGATTAAATCCCCTTTTCTACAAGAGGGCAGCCATACCCACCTTCCTCCTGTCTTAGGAGAGTACCCTAGTCACCAGGCTATAGCTTTTTTGGAGAGGGAGCACTCTGCCTGTCTTGTTGAGGGAGTTCTGTTTAGCATGGAATGAGTAAAGGATTATATGTCCAGACAAACCAAGCAAGAATCTCACCTAATGGTTCAAGCGCTCATGTTCTAAACTAGTCATTGTGCTGAAGAGTATTTCACTATTTTATATTAAAGTAGTCAGTGATTCAGTGACAGAGATCCAGATCTCCCCCTTCCCAGATGAGTGACCCATCACTAAGCAACAGTGTCATGCCCTCTGTCTTTCTAGTCCAATTTATTTTTAATTCTTAATGTTTATTTATTCCATGCAGACATGCAGTAAATTCATCAGGAGGGGATAAGTGGGTTTCACATAACACCGCAGGAGCCTGCATCTTCAAGGTTTGGACACTCTCTTGGGAGGGAAGACTTTGAATTCTCTTATGGAGAAAAGGAAATGTAACCCAGGTCTTCCACATTCTGGCCAAGTGCTCTATTCACTAAGTGGGTAAAACAGTTATCATCTTCATTAAGGGTTTTTGTGAAAAACCTGAATCATTAATTAGGCTTGCTCAGAAAATACATATTGAACCAAAGCCTGCAGGAAATATAAGCAGAGAAACACCTAATTTGTGGATCCTGACAAAAATTTGGCATGAGACAGGTATCAAGTTGCTCAGAACAGATAAGACTGATGCATGGTGCTTTAGGCAGACTAATTTGGATTTGCTTAATGACAGTTCTGGTAAGCCTACTTTCATACTAATTAACTTACCTGCATGCCATGTGGACATGGCTGTGCTCTTTCCAAGTTCAAAGTGAAGTGGTATGCTTGAGGGCACCAGTGTTTAGCACAGGAAATATATACATCACATTTACTTGAATACAAGATACGGCTTTTCCCCCCAGTCAGCATGGGGGGGAAAGCCCCTCATTTTGAATTTGTATACAAGGAAACCTCATTAAATACATTGTCATTTATCTTTGAACTGCTGCTGAAACAGCATATGCCCAGTAAAGAAAATCAACTATCAAGGAATATCATAAATAGTTTGCTGGGTCTGTGTTCAGTGGCTTAGGGAGTTGTGGTAGAAGGGCACAGGAAGGCATCGCTTTTAAGTGGGGTGGCAGCCTCTGCTGTTAACTTCAATCAATGGTGTGACAAAGGAAAAAAAGATAGTTTATACTATATATAAATAGGTATACAAGTGCTGCTTAAAAATGTGTTTATGAAGTACCTGTGCTAAAGCTTGCAGCAGTTTTTAAAAGTCAAATGCATAAATTTTGGATGAACTAGTCTATGGGTACTATATGCAAATAACTACAGTTATATTTAATTAAAGGTCATTTTTTTCAAATTTGTTTCTCACTTCCATGTGCTCAGGGAAAGCAGGGTCTGACAGGAGTGTGAAAGGGGCTGCAGGGGGAAGAAGCTGTAGTGGGCAAAGGACCTACCAGATCTGTCAGATTTATTTTCCCTGGTGTAGCACTGGGAGGAGGACAAATTCAAGACAAACAACCAATTAGATTCTATGCCTGAAAAAATTATATCAAATTTATAAATTTTCCACATATAGAATCTAATTATGGGGCGGGTCATCTTACAATCAGGGTCATCTTTATTTGAGTAAATATGGTATATGTATATATAGCTTCACTCCTTTGTGAATCTAACTCCAGGTTTCTCCAAACCTACTCCTATGTGACAAAATCCCAGTTCACTGTATAGAACTGTATAGACCCTATACTATAGGGTGTGCCACAGATAATGCTAACTTCAGACCTACTGTATAAAAGATCAAAGTCATGTTTGAAAACATGAAAAAGGCAGTTATATTTATTTCTTTTCAATAATTGTGATTGGTCTGCCTACAATGTTAAAAAGCTATTTCTTAAATTGAAAAAAGTATCAGGGAGATTATTTCTTACTTGGCACTTAAATTATCAATCCATTTCAGGTGGAAACATCTTCAAATAAATGCACATTAACATTTATTGAAGTAATCCTACCACTATTCCCATTAAAGACCTACTCCAGAGCTCTGCAGCTGTTTCAAATATATTTCAACAGCAACAGCTCAGAACCACCGTACCAGAAGAGAAGAGAAAGTAGTCTGCCTTTAAGAACCATATGGGATAACACTGATCATCATAGGGTTCTGTGTTTCCTTTTACAGGCACCAAAACCAAGGAAGGAGTAGTACAGAGTGTGAGTTCAGGTAAGAGCACAACTTCTACAGGTTTGCATAAAGCAATATGTACAACCATGTGTTACTGATAAGGCCACAATTCTTACCTGTGTAAAAATGAACAAACATGCATGGCTTACAGTATGCTTCATTTACTTCTAGAGCCTGTCAGAGAATGGGAATCAGTTCTGCTTATGAGATAATCAAAGATGCTTGCCATATGGCACTGGATAATGCTGCAGGATGTTGCACTTTCAGTACTGGTGAATGGACAAAAATGTTTCATAAGCAAAGCTGGTTGAAAAAACTACAATCTGACATTTTCATGACAGGAACTGAGAAAAGGTTGGATTGAAGATGTCTGGTACACTGCAGACTACTATATACAGGGCCTCTTTTGTACTAATGTTCTGGCCCACTGAAGACTGCTAAGTTTCAATACCTGCCTATTCTTGAGCTAAGCAGTCTACGTGAGAATGACCCCCCTTGTACTTTAAAATCAAAGGGTCTGTATGCAGACCAGATTATAAAAGTCCAGGTTAGGAAGAGTGTTGAGCTAATTCCGCTACTATTTCAGAGTAATCATAGGCTTAGTCAAACCCAATTAATTGAAAACCGATTTTGAACTTAGCTCACCAGCCTTTTGTTGACTTCTTGTTGATCACTAGTTGCTGAGAAGACCAAAGAGCAGGCCAATGTTGTTGGTGAAGCTGTGGTGGCCAGTGTGAATACAGTGGCAAACAAGACTGTAGAAGGAGCAGAGACCATTGTAGCAACCACAGGAGTGGTAAAAAAGGTACTTTTTTCACTTGTGACCTGTGAAAGAATAGAGGTTTGTTTTAGCATTACCTTCCTCAAACATTTAGAGAAGGTTTCTGAGGCTCTTACATTTTGAGTTTTTGTACCTACTTTTAAAATCAGAAAACCTGTTGTGATAGACAAGTGCAGTACTGTTTAATAGAATACTTCCTATTGCTACATAAAGAAATACCTCCTTATCTTCTGCTATGTAACACAGGTTAATATAGATGTATATATTAACTTAGAAATTCTTCAAAGGTAGCCTTATACTCTGGGCATTTTAGTCAAGATTTTCAAAAGTGACTAATTATTTGACTGCCTCCATTTTTGTTCAGATTGTTTAATTGGATCTGGTTTTAAGAATGCTATAAGCGTCTATCCTCTACATGTCTAGTTGTCTTTTGTTAGGTCATACGGTCTATAAGCATAGAAATTAAAGTTATTAATATGTAGTAATAGCACCTGCCATCTAAAATTATCTACATTTTTTACATTAATAGTTCTCAACCTTTATAGACTCAAGGCCCTCCTCAGAAAATGCCAACTCTTAGCTTTCATTTGTTTTTTTACTATGAAAAAAAATAGAGAAATTCTTCTGTTGCAAAGAACTCAGAAAGACCACAACTGGTCAGCAAGTTTTTCCACTATGGATTCCTATTTGAAATCTCTAAATTTATCTTGTGAATCATGTGTAGGTGTTTGTATACCTAACAGTGCTAATATTAGATGACCCTTAAAAGGTTAATATCGCCCAGGATGACAAGGCACTCTGGTTGAAAATCACTGCCTTACTTAGGGAACCAATCTACAAACCAGATCACAAAATTGGGTACCAGGAACATGTGAGTTTTATTCCCAGTTGTACTATATCTGTTCCTTCTGTGGCATTAGGCAAATATCTAATCTGCTGGCATTTGATATCCTGTTTTAAATGGACCAAATAATATTTTTCAACCTCAGAGGTGTTTTGATAATAAGTCAGTACATATTTGTGAAATGCACATAAGTTAGAACAGAATATTCACTTTACTCAAAACTACTGCAGGTTTGAGTCCTGCAGAACCATAAAACATGTTGTTCTAAGCCACAAAGTATGCATTTCAATCTGAGCTGCCCCAACGGCAGTAGGTACTCAGAACTAAACATTATGGTTTAACTACAGCATTTATATCTAAAACTGGCTCTATACCCAGGGCATGACCCACCCCATTTGGGGTGGGGGGGTCTGCTTATACCCAAAGATTTGCTTCAGATCACCCTTTGTATTGATATGTAATTTAAAATCAAGTATAGAATTAAAATACACTAAAGCACCTTTTATTTTTGATTTCTTACTTTTGGGTTCTGTCATTTTCACTGAACACTCCAGAGTGGGGGAATGCTTTATTATAAAAATATTGGGCTTGTCTCTACTCCCATTGAAGTGAACATGTGCATCTTCCATAGACTAAAGTTGGAGCAAGACAGGGCCTCATAAAATAATTGCTACCAGGTGTCTAAGCTGTGGAGTCAGTTGGTGTGATCAAACTTTGAATGCACTTATTCACAACTTGCTTTCAGACTCTTTGTAAGGCAGTTCTCTGTTGCAGAACTGTGAAGACAGCTTTGAAGAACCTTATATACGCACCTCTTAATCCACTTGATTCTCAAATGTACATATAAGCCACTTCCCCCACCTCAAAAGACTTAATACCTGTACACCTTAAATAGGACAGTACATATTTGTCAACAGTAGAGGGCAATGCTAACTTAGACCAATTTTATCTAGTCTCTACTCTCCAGACACTTGACCCACAAGAGATGCAAGATTGTCCTACCCTTGCTTTCCAATTCTGTGCTAACTTTGACAACAAATAGGCATCTGTTGATAAGAACCATGTGACAAAAATTATGCATTGGTTAAGCCAGTTTTAAACAAAGAAGCCCTGTTCTCAGATACCATGTGAAAGCTTTAGTTGGTTCAAAATTAATGGGTGAGAAGCACATAAAAGAATAGAACTTCCTGGACGAAGGCAACATTGTTCGTTAGGCATGATGCTTTCCCAATGTGACACTAAATAGCAACCATATTTGTAGTAGGCCTGTGGGAGTAGGCAGCTTTTCAATCCAGCTTTGGATCCAGCTGATTTGGATACCAGCGATCTGATCCAGAGCTCCCGGCCGGGTTCCCGCTTCAATCTGGCCGAAGTGGCTCTGAAGCTTCGGAGCCGCCTTGGAGATACAGCCATAGGGTATAATGGGGAATCAATGAAATAACTTTGTTGTTTTTTGTCTGATTTGGATGGTTTTGTGGTTTTGTAGGTGTTAATCATTGCTCGTTAACTCGTTAACACCTACAAAAACCACAGACTAAGGAAAAGAAATAATCAATACAGACAATCAACTATCACAAGATAGAGACAGTCAGTTGCACAAGCACCCATGTCACAAGTTTTGCCTGTCAGTAGCTAGAGGTGCAGGGCCCCAGAACCCAGAAGCACTGCACCTATCTCCTTGACAGCTGGCAGGCTTCATGGCCATAGCAGGAGCTACCATCCCTGCAGCTTTCACCCTGCTGCCCCTTAACACACACAGTGTCACCTATGTCACGAGTTTTGCTTGTCTGCAGCTTGAGGTACAGTTCCCCCCAAACCCCTGCACCAATCTTCTTGAACCTTGGCAGGCTGTGTGGTCTGAGCAGGGGCCACCACCTCTGCAGTTTTCAGCCCGCTGCACCTTAACACACACAGGGTCATCTATGTCACGAGTTTTGCCTGTCAGCAGGTTGAAGTGAAGTTCCCCCTAAACCCCTGCACCTATCACCTTGAAACTTGGCAAGCTTCATGGCCTCAGCAGGGGTGACCATCCCGGCAGTTTTCACCCCACTGTGGTGTAACACATACATGTGACATGAGTTTTGCTTTCAAGAATTTGGGGTGCACTTCCCCCCAAACTCCTGCACTGATCTTCTTGAAACTTGGCAGGCTTTGTGGCCTCACCAGGGGCCACCAGTCTTACAGATTTCACTACACTGTGGCTTAACACATACACATGGCATGAGTTTTGCTTTCAGGAATTTGGGGTGCAGTTCCCCCCAAACCCCTGCATGTATCTTCTTGAAACTTGCCAGGCTTTGTGGCCTCCACAGAGGCTACCATCCCTGCAGTTTTCACCCTCTCTGTGGTGTAACACATGCACATGACATGAGTTTTGCTTTCAAGAATTTGGGGTGCAGTACCCCCCAAAACCCTGCACTGATCTTTTTGAAACTTGGTGTTCTTCATGTTCTCAATAGAGGCTACCACCTCTGCAAGTTTCATCCAAATCAGACAAAAAACAACAAAGGTATAGATATTTCATTGATTCCCCATTATACCTATGGCCGGATCTCCTAGGCGGCTCTAAAGCTTTTCTGAAATGCTTCAGAAGTGCCAAACTGCTTCAGAAAGCCTAAAGAAGCCAGTGCTTCAATCTGGACATGCTGCTTCAGATGCAAAAGTGCCCAAAACTTCTCCGGATCCAAAGCACGGTCTGAAGCCTCACACAGCCCTAATTTGTAGCCCTGTGGAGCCCTTTGATAGAGCTAGTAGCTCTTTGGTTTTTTTCCATTTTAGTGGGTGGAATCAAGAGAATTGACAATGACCAAAGCTAGACTCAGACTACCTAGGTATAAATTGAATCAAACCCAAGTAAGACTGGCCAAAATTGTTCTAATCTTGTCAGACACCTAGGGCACCTATACACATGCAGCAGGGTGCTCCGACACACTGTAATTACAGTGTTTCAGAGCAGATTTGATTAACTGAGTCTGCTGGAGCATGGTAATTACCGTACTCCAGCAGACTCCAGCATCACATGTAATCAACATCTCCACACTGCAAAATGGCAGCGGGAGCACTTTAACTAAAGCTCGTTTGACAAGCTTTAGTTAAAGCACCCAATCACCATTTTTTAGCATGGGGACACTGATACACATGATACTCTGGGCCCTTTAATTAGAGCAGCTCCAAGAACCACGCTATTTCAAGTGCCCCTCTTGACCCCCACCCCCTACCACACCTGGAGCACATGTATAAATGCCCTTAATGCTGTATTTGCTGTTAGGTCAGGAAATCTAGCAACTGCATGAAACTAAACTTCTATATAAGGGATGAACTTGGTATTCCATACCCTATAGAAGTCTTTTAGCAAAGAAGAGGACTTACAACTACAAGCCATGCATTCTATGGTCTTGTAAAACAGATAGAATGGAAAGAATGCAGAGTGCCAGAGGCAGATTAAAATTCATTGGGGCCCTAGGCCTGGGCCCCCCACCACAGCTTGGGCCCTGCTAACCATGGTCTAGGTCCTCCCTCCTGACTTGCTCCCTGCCCCGCAGTCGCAGGCTTCGTCCCCAGCTGGCACAGCAAGAGCAACAGCCGGAGCAGAACATGCTGCCCTGCAGGCCCAGAGTGGGGGCTATCCTTCACTGGCTGTTGGGCACATGCTTCCCCCACTCTGTCATCTGTGAGGCAGCTCTCAGCTGCAGGCAGTCAGCAGAAGGAAGCATGCTTTTTCCCACTCAGTGGCATGGGGTCTCTGGGCTTTGTCCAGGGTGAAGGGTGTGGAGGTTCACCCCAGGCAGGACAAAGGTGGGGAAAGTAAGGCTTATGAGCTGTTGTTGAGAGGCAGTGTCAGCAGTGCACTTGGCCAGGTTGGCAGGGCACTGAGTCCCTTTTCTGTCCCGAGCCCTGGGACTGCACACTGGAGTGGGTCTAGAAAGGTTTCAGAGGATTTCCACCCCCTCTGAGCCAGCGCTGAGTTCCTGGCTAAAGCCACTTCCTCCTGTGCAGCTGTGGGGCTCCAGTCGGGGAGGTAGGAGGCATGCATGCCCTTGCGGCTGTAGTGCCTGGTGGGGGGTGATTCCAGTGAAGGAACAGGAGCTGCAGTCTGGCGAGCCCCTGCCCAGACCCGCCTGCTGCTAGTGCCAACCACTGCCAGCTGGGCTGGTCAGCTCAGGATAATTGTTTTCCAGGGGCAGGGGAGGGGCTGCTGCCAACTCAGCTCAACACAGGGATCTGCTTTTGCCCCCTGATCTCAGTGCTAGAATCACCCCCTGACAGAGTGCAGCAGCAA